AATCATTGTCTTCATCAGTCCCCCGTTTCTCCGGTTGAGTCAGGGCTAATGTCGATAATTGCTATTTAGTTTCTTGCTTTGCGGTTGAACCCGGCCCATTTGTCGTTGCAAGTGTGGATATCGGAATCACCTCTTCGACCGCGAACATCTCCTTTGAGGCTGGCTGTTCTGCGTAGATTGTTTTAATCCCACCTGGTACTGGGAATTTTAACACTTGGTGCAAAGTCGACGGTACTGCCCTCATGTTGTGGATCTCCCGAACAAAGTGTTGTACCTCATGTATCCTTCGATCACATAAAACTTAGCTTCCTGAATGGTCCCGGCGGTGTTCACCAGTAATGTTATCTCCCCCTTAGTGGTTTCACATGCCATGTTGAATCCGTTTAGTACTCAGACCGTGACACGATTTGATCTTGTAAACCGAGCTGCTCCACGACCCTCGATCGGATGATGTTGGTCGAGCTACCTGGATCAATTAACACATGCTTAACTTGAAATTTATTTACTAGTATAGATATTACCAGTGCATTATTGTGGGGCTGCACGATCCCTTCCGCGTCCTCGTCATTGAAAGACAAGGTTCCTTCCGGTATGTAATCTCGAGTCCGTTTTTCCCTCGTGATGGACACTGTGGTGTATTTCAACATTGGCCCCTGAGGGACGTCGACCCTACCGATGATCATGTTAATGACGTGTTGAGGCTCTTCTTGTTCGGTATGTTTGTTAGAATCCCTATTTCTAAAATGATTCTTGGCTCGGTCGCTCAGGAATTCTCGAAGATGCCCGTTGTTGAATAGTCAGGCTACTTCCTCTATCAATTGTCGGCAATCCTCTGTTCTGTGGCCGTGAGTGCCGTGATATTTACATATCTGGTTAGGATCCCTTTGGGTTGGATCGTATTGTAGATATCGAGGCCATTTGGTATCTTTGATGCGTCCGATAAATGATACAATGGCGGCAACATCGACGTTAAAGTTGTATTTCGATAACCTCAGTGCTTCTTTAGGTCTGATGGGCTAGTCGAAGCTGTTTTTGCTCATGAGTCCCCGGTTGCTCTGACCTTGATGACTTCTCATTTCATTTCTCATAGTTTTCTGCCCGGACCCACTGCCTCTTCGGTCTCCATTATATGGCTGATACCGATCCATGTTTGATCTCGGTTCACGATCGATGTCTCTTTTGTCTCTATCGATGGTTTTGACGGGATAAACAGACCCCAAAGGGACCCCGAGTTGATCATCTTTGACTTTGATTTTCGACTGATACCGGTTATGAACGCCGGCCCAAGTAACGACCACATATTCTATCAATTTTTGTTTCAACTACTGTGAAGCCACCGAGCTTTGAACATTGAGCCTTTGGGTGAAAGCCTGAACGACCCAATCATAGGCGACCGGTGGCAGGTCCATTCGTTCTATTTGATACCTAGACACGAACTCTTTGAGCATCTCGTTATCCTTCTATTTCACTTTGAAAAGGTCTGATTTCCTGGTCTCGACCTTGATGGACCCGGCGTGTGCTTTCATTAAAGAATCCGGAAGCATAGCAAATGAGTCAATAGAATTAGGAGGTAAGTTGTGATACCATATCATAGCTCCTTTGACAAGGTCTCTCCGAACTTCTTCAACAGGACAGACTCGATCTCATCATCCTCCAAGTCGTTCCCCTTGATGGCACATGTGTAAGAGGTTACATGCTCATTTGGATAGGTCGTTCTGTTATACTTAGCAATCTCGTGCATGCGGAATTTCTTAGGGATCTGGTTTAGAGCCGCGCTCGAAGGAAAAGGTTTTTGCACGAACTTCTTGGAATCCAGGCCTTTCAATATCAGCGGTGCTCCTGGAATTTGGTCTACCCTGGAATTGTAGGTTTCCACTTTTTTGTCATTAGCTTCGATTTTCTTCTCCCCTGATTCTACCCGTTTTGTCAGTTCTTTGAGCATCTTTATGATCTCGGGGTTAGCCCCTGATTCGTTTTCATTTGACCTTTCTGCAACCGGTTCATCCCTGCGGGTGACTTCCCGGGGTGGATCGGAATCAACTCTGCTCGGTGCACGACTTTGGTTCTGTAACTGAGCTATCACTGCCTATTGAGCCTGCAACATTTCGAAGATCACCCGTAAACTGATCCCGTATCCTCCAATATTTTGTGTATTTTGAGTTGCCGATCGGGCTCCACCACAGACGCTATTCTCGGGGTCGGTAGGCAGGTTTGTGTAGATAACCATATGTGAAGTAGCGTTAATTGGATCCGCTAGTGGAATTCCGATGGGATCGACGGGCGGTACCTCGTCACCGGGCACTACGTTGTTATTTTCACCATGATGACCAGACTCATTGTCAACATGTAGGGGTGCTGATTGAGAGTTCGACATTTTGAGTTTTAACCTGCAATTAGAGACACTTCAAAGAACAAGTGAAAAATAGTGTGTGTTATGGAGATTTGTATCAAATAACCACTATTATCCTTAGCCCCATGGTGGGCGCCAAACTGTTTACCCTGAAAATCAGATAACAATTGAATTTATAAGTGGTTTTAAGGATACGTGGAATAACTTGACACAAAACGAAAAATTAGGTTGCAATTAAAATAAATAATGGTAAAATAAATACAAACCACACGAATGGAACAGTCTTAGCCTTGAAAGGTTAATCACCCTCGAGCCAGGTACACTTTGAACGGTGTTAGGACATGGAAGAACAAAAGCTTAAAGAGAAAATATAATAATGTATTGCTTTGGAATGCGTGTTACAATGTCCTTAATGAATTATCAGACCCCCCTTTATATAGTAGAGGAGTCCTACTTTAGTACAATTCTATAAAAGGTAAAATCCCTTGATTTGTTGATTGCGGGTTCCTTACTGATATGCGCCGAGATTTTCACCGCAACATATACCCGGTTACGAATATTTCGGTCTTCCGTTGGTTATGCTAACAATGTTTCTCCGAGCTAGTTCGGGGCTAGGGTCGACTCCGGGGTCTCGGACTCAATGTTCTCGAAGGCAGGTGTTCTGACCCCGGGTTCTAGCCCGGTGTGACTTGGAGCCGATCTTCAATCTTGCATCATCATGTTCCGAACTTATCCTTTCATGTCGTAGGCAAAATCGATCTCGACCGTATACAATATGTCAATCTATTTTGGACAATTTACGTAAATTTGAAACTCCGTAGAGCAGTTATAAGTAAAGTGAAAAACATCATAGCAAGAGACATAAAGGCTTTTATCCAACTTGGATCTTTCAGTGGTGGATGTAGCATGCAAGTTATATGTTTAGTCTTAATAATAATGTAAGAGTTATAACCTATCAAATTTAAATTCGACAGTGTCTTTTTAAAATTTGATTCTTTATTATTTTTTAAATAATTAACAATATCACATAAAGTAAAATATAGAAAGTTTACATCGTGGAACCAGTGTAGTATTAATATGATGTTTCCATATTCTCAAAAAAAAAAAAAAAAAAAACTTTCATCTACACACAGTAAAAAGGTTGGCGAGTGACTAGATTACCAAAAAGATAGCCCATTATGTAAAAAACGAAAAAGGGCCTAAAGTACCCCTCAAGTATAAAATTTGGTATAATAAAGTCCTCCTTCCACCTTTTTGAATAAAAAAGCACTTACCGTTTATTTTCTGGATCAACTATGCCCTTATTTCTAACAACCTTCTATTAAATAAATATATAAAAAAAATAATCCACGTGTTATATTTCCATTTGCCCAACTTAAAATCCAGCCCTAATCTCCCGCCCCACCCGTAACCCGCCCCAATATTGACCCACCCGTCCCCACAAATTCATTAAACCCAAACTAAACAAATCTTTGAAGACTCAGCAGCGTCTTCTTCTTCCTCTTTTCATTAGGGTTCTTCAAATTCTCCATCTCTCATCTCCTACCTCCCAAGTTTGTTTCTTCTTTTTGAATTTACATTCATAACTATTCTTCCTGTTGGTTAAAATGTCTGAATCTTCTTCTGCTTCTTCTCTTGACCAAGGTGATTCCCGTATATGTTATTGCGGATTAATTGCCAACCATTTTACTGCTATGACACCTATGAATGGTGGTCATACATTCTACAAAATGTTGTCGTTCTTAGAAGAACGGTTGTTGTTATTGGGAATGGCGCGATGAATAATTTTCACCTCATGTGTCAATGTTTATCCATAATCAAAAAAATTTATTAGATGCCCTTTGTCAAGAAAGGAATAAGTTAAAGCAGACTGTGGCTGATATGGTTCATAGCAAAGCTGCAAATTTGAACAAAGTATCTGCCTTGGATGAGAAAGGTTCCAATTTAGAATTAAAAGTTAATCAATTGAGAAGAGTACTGCTATGGTCATGGGTTGCTTTTGTGTTTTTTGTCGCGGTGAAGATGATGGATTGAGAAGTATTTGAAGATTCTGTGTCTTTCTACTTTACTTTATGTCAAGTAGCTGTTGTTGCGTTGGTTATTAACGCTGGTTAATAGGTAATTTGCAGATTAGTGTTTCTAGGTAGTTTGCAGATTAGTGCTAACATTGTTTAATGTAATATGCAATTTTTATGTAATGTACTCCATAATAGTTGGAGTTTTAACTGTTAGTGTTGAAGTGGTTAATGTAATATGTAGTTTTAATGTAACATGTAGTGTTGGTTAATTGTTTGTTAATTTATGGTCCTGTAGTTTTTATGTAACATGAAGTGGTTTGTTAACTGTTAGTGTTGAAGGTAACACAATAATCCCTCTATCATAAAACTGTTTGGACTAACGAGTCGTTTTATTGCTCAAAATGAGAGACGACAAAGATATGAATAGCACTGTGATTGTTCACCACTTCATCCAAACAAATCTGTTCATACTCTTGAATACCAAACCATAAACACCAAACCATAAATGAATGCCTGCACTACTTCTTGAATCATAAACATAACTAAAACTGCTCTGTCATAAATACCACCAAAAGATAACTAAATATCAAACCATAAATATAACTAAACTGTCAACATAGTGTTTCGCCCTACATTAAGCATAACAAAAGATTTTTTCGGGTGAATCAATACAGCAATTTTCCCAACTGATTCACCAAAAAAAAAAGTAAAATACTAGTACTTGAATCAGTCATTACAAAAAAAAACAGTCAGTCATTGTAATTTTCCCTAACACTTGGCCTTCTTAGCCTTCAGTTTACCAACTCTGTTTTCATTTTTTTCCACCAACTGGTTAGAGGTCATTGCTGCATTTCCTTTCCAAGTAACTTTCTTTGGAGAATATGGCAAGTTAGTAGGTATATTCACACCAGTCTCATCTCCTTTGAAGTTGATCTTTCTAATTCCAGTTGGTTTTTGCAACAACTTCTTTTGTTGAAGCCTAGTCTTAGCTTCAGATATCACTTTAGGCCTCAGAATTGGCTCTTCATTGTCTTCATCTCCATTTTCATATTCACTTTCATCATCAACAATATCTGAACATGGAGCAAACTGTTGAAGTATGCCTTGCGATGTAACAGACTGTTGAAGTATTCCTTGGGATACATCAAACTGTTGATAGCAGATTTTAGGTGCAACAGATTTTTTTGTCTGCTTGTTTTCTGGTAAAACAGAGGATGATGCTTGAGTTACTTCATGGACTGGACTAGTAAACACCCTCAGTCCAGGAGTAGGCATAAATGCATACTATGAATTTTGACTGTCCTGAGGTGCTGTCTGAGGCACATCTTGAGAACATTCCCCAACCTACAATAGCAGTAAGAAGACTGTTAGGACAGGGAGAGTATAGCAATAAAAAGATTGTTAAGACATTTAAGAAGAATATTGTACTTACCAAAGGACATTTTCTGATGTTGTGACCTCTATTGCCACAGTGCCCACATGTCATCACAAGCCCCTTTTTTGAAGCTGACCAAACTCCTTCTCTCTTTCTTGCCTAATCTTTTTCTCTCTTTCTCTTTACTTTTGGCCTACCAACCATTCTATGTACTTCTGGTGGATCCATTGCATGTGTTGGCTCAAATTTTCAGAATTTATCACCTCTTACTGGTTGTAGTTTATGCATGTACACCAACATGTAGGCTTTCTTTGAATACCACTAATGCACTTCACTCAATGGATCTTCTTTGTTATTATCTAAAGCTTTGATGGCATGAGAACATGGTATTCCTGACAAGTCCCATGTCCTACATGTACACTTCTTAAGTAGAAGATTGATTGTATGCCTGTCTTTACCTTCAACAACTTCATATATATATTGTCTCCATTAAAAATAACTTCACACCCTTGTACATTCTGTGTGAAATCATTCAGCAACTCCATGGCATAAAGACTAAATTCTCCTCTTCAAGTTCTACATTCCTCTTCACGATCTTTCAACATAGTCATGACCTTTCAAACAAGAAAAAATCATTGTCAAACAGTGGTACCACATTAGGAAAAAAAGGAAATGATTCTGCTTTAGAAACAATGAAGTAAAAGGCTCTCAGAAATTTACCTTCACTCTAATATCTTCCAACATCTTGATAATAGGCTTTTGTCTAGCCTCAAGAATCTATTTGTTGAATGATTCTATAAAGTTGTTATCAACCATGTAGTTCTTGCATGTGGTATCAAAGTAAGCCCTACACCAGTTTTGGGGTGGGTACCATATGAGATCTTTAGCAGCATTTTTATTAATATCACCCATTGTCTTCAAATGATCTTTAAATTCTTCTTCATAAGTGCTCCAAGCATACCACCATAGCAATTTTTTCATCTTTACACCCCTCCAATTCTTGCTCCAATTAGCTTAAAGATGCCTAACACACTATCTATGATGTGATTTAGGTACCACAATAGACACAACATCCAGCAAACCCTGCAATATTAAAGAAAATTTATTAATACATAATGTAAACCTAACATTGGAAATGAATAATAAAAATTAGAAGTACCTTCTGCATATCTGACATAAATGTCACTCCTTCACCATCTCCCAGCTCTAATGAAGATCTCAATAGCTCCATAAACCACTTCCATGTTCTAGATGTTTCTCTATCCACCACTGCCCAAGCAAGTGGGTAAAAATATTTCACTGAATCTTGGGTCATAGCAACCATTAGAATTCCCCTGCACTTCCCTTTCAAAAATGTGCGTCCAGATCTATTATCCCTTGATATCAAGCACACAAAAGGACATCCAACATCACAACTATATCTAATTCTACCAGTGTCACTCTTCTCAACTCTAAGTCCCTTATTATTAACAATAGCATAGTAGCCAACCACTCTTTTAGCTTCAGCTAAATCTTTAAAGCTCATACCCATCTCCAACTCCTTATACTTGTCCAATTTGTCTTTGACTTCCCTAGTCCTTTCCTTTCTAAATAGATCTAACTCATCAGTATCATAATCACTAGAGTTAATCATATACGCATAAGGTTCATCATCTTCAGAAGGCTCACAATTAGTACCAATATCTACAGAGACATTATAGGGTTCATTATAGTGAATGATGCTAGGAACTGTGACATGTATCTCACCCTCATTAATAGCAAATAGTTGAAGCACACAAAAGTTATTTGATAGTAAAGACTGTATTGTCCTAATTCCTGAGTCACCTTCAACTATGAAGTACCTATCAGAAGGTCCAATGACTATCAGTTGTTCCACCTTACTAAACCCACAATTTTTAATGTATTCTGAACATATGTCTATATAAGACAGTAAATCCATAGCATAGGCTTGCAGTACATGACTCAGTTTTTTAATATATAAAATTTGAGGTTTCAAAATCCACTTGCCCCCATAGTTAAATACCAAGTCCACTTGTGATTCATTCTTCAAAAAAATAAATGCAAGCCTTAAAAGAAAGGGAAAAGGGATCCATTAGACATATTAAAATAAAAAATTAAAGTTTCAATAAGAATAAAGGAACCCCATACCAATAAAGTACAGATAAAAACAAAAGCATACATAATTAAATAACTGAAATGGACAAAAAATAGGACCCACATCCCAATAATTAAACTAGCCACCAACCACAATGTATACCATAACTTCTGCATAGGACAAACGAATATGGACCACATGCAACCAAAATTTAACTATAAAAATGACATTAGATGCATGGAAGAAAACAAAGAAGCTAAAAAACACATGAAAACTCATAAAAAGCAACGCAACAATGACACGTTCCACAGACCGTATAAAGTATAGTCTGGAATCGACAAACTAAAATTAAATAAATGGAATCGACAAAAAGTAGGACCACATACCAATAATTTAACCAGCCACAACCAACAATAAAACCCTAACTTCGTACAAGAAAAAACGAAAAGGGACCACATGCAACCCAAAATTGACTACAAAAAAGACATCAAAAGCATGGAAGAAATATGAAAATACATGAGAAGCAACACAAAATGCAAATTTCAAAAAAACCCTAAACTCTAAATTATTCACCAAAATAATAGTTTAAACTTACTTGAAAGAGTAGAAGAGTAAAAATCTTCAAGTGTAAAGTATTTTCTTGTAGAGAATCCCAAAACTTGAATCAGATTTCACCCTCTTTAATCGCCAACCATTTTCGCTCTTAGACAATAGGGTTAAATATTTTTTGTCTGAATGTGGTCGGGTGTTATTTAGTTTGGGTTTAATGAATTCGTGGGGCGAGCGGGTCAGTAATGGGGCAGGTTACGGGTATGGCGGGAGATTAGGGCTGGATTTTAAGTTGGGCCAATGGAAATATAACACATGGATTAAAATTATTTTTTTTATTATTTAATAGAAGGCCATTAGAAATAAGGGCATAGTTGATCTAAAAAATAAATAGTAAGTGCTTTTTTATTCAAAAAGGTGTAAGGAGGGCTTTATTGTACCAAATTCAATAATACTTCAGCGTACTTTAGGCACTTTTCCGTTTAAAAAATGAAAAGAAAGAAAAAAGAAGAAAATGTCTGAGTACCTAATTTAATGCAGAAAGTTCTAGGTTGAACCGATGTCGTAGTGAAGCCAGAGACTTTAAAGTTTAAATCCTCGATAAACTTCTCCAACTCAATTTGAGAGTTTCTACTCATTTTAAGAGACCCCCAAATCCAATGGCGCTGTTAGCCACCAGGCGCATATTAGCTTCCAGCATTTACCGTGCACTCTCTTCACCCCCTTCATCATCATTATCTCGATTTCGTTTTACTCTTCCCCTTTTCTTCAATCCCCAGTACTTCCCATCATCAGAGCAATTCGTTCCCACTCGTCCCAAGTCATCCGGGTCGGGTTACTCGCCCCTCAATGATCCTTCACCGAACTGGAGCAACCGGCCGCCGAAGGAGACGATACTTTTGGATGGATGTGACTATGAGCATTGGCTGATTGTGTTAGAGTTTCCTGACCCTAAACCCTCGGAGGAAGAAATGATTAATGCATATGTCAAGACCCTTGCTGCCGTTGTCGGAAGGTACGTTGGTAAACACCCCTTTTTTTGTTCCTTGTTGCCATATTATACCTAGGTCATTTGTGTTGTTACGAATACATAGGAAGTTACTTTGGAAAAACTTGTTTTTCTAGTTCCTCATAGACATACTATACCTGAATCATGGATTATGAGTTCATTGGAAGTTTCCGAATAATAACCAGTTCTTTCTGGTTCCTTGTTGACATACAATTCCTGGGTCATGGGTGTTTAACCAATGTATTAGTCACCTAATAGTTAGGATGATAAATTATGCAAATATTGAATTCCTCATGACGTGTTGTGACGTTAGAGAGGGAGCTGATGAGGATGGGTAAAGATAGGCTTTTAGGTTGGTAGATTTTTGAACAATGGGTGCACACAATACTTAAGGTGAATCTCATATCGGAACTGGTGGGGAGGGTGGGGNCCTTGCACTTTGACTAATATGGTATCAAAGTATGATTCCCTTAGTACGATGGGAGAGTGGAACAATCCTCAGTTAGGATGCTAATAAGTTCCTAAGAAGGGGGGTGTATATGATGTCTATGAAGACAAGTGAGAGACTGTCAGGCTTCTAGGCTTCCGGAGAAAGAGTTCATGTGACACAGGAGAAAAAATCCTAGACTTTATATGACATAGAACAAGTTCACTTAGTAGGATCACTTTTGGGCTCGAAGTAGCTTAGCCCAAGAGACAAATTCTTAAAGTCTGTTGGGACCAAGCGAACAATATGTCCCCGTAAAATCTGGAATGTAACACGTGTCCGCCTAGACAGGCCATACAACTTAATGGAGTGGAGTGGACAATGACGATTCATACATTTTATCGGGATTAAGCTATAGTTGATTGATTAGGCACCTAATACATGTACTTGAGTTTGTGATGCGGGAAAAAGTTTACACTAAGTTATTACTATTAAACTTAATTCTTGTAAAAGTAGGTAGGTCAAGAAACCTTGATTGTCAAAATATTATTGGCTAAGTTAAAAGGGAACTAGAAGAGATTCATTCAACATTTTTCCTCACACTATCTTTATGGAATATTCAAAACGTTCGATCTACTACAAGATCAAAATAAACAAAGATGAGAGAATTCAGAAGACTTGCTTCGATTGAGATGCTTAGAATAAGCAAAATGATTTTCTATTTATAGGTAAAGGATTTGCCTTTTATGAAGAACGACAAGCCAATTTGGCTCTTTATTTCAAAAAGGTCACGACCTTCAATAATGTCAATGATCATGACCTTTTTATAATGTCAATGGCCATGGCCTTTCAATAATGTCAAATGTCAAGGTATTTCAATAATTGAATGGCCATTTAGGCCACCTCTATCTAACAAATAGCTCAAAAAATTTGTTCCTGAACCCGAAGAATCAGAGAAAGTCTTGGAGAAGTTTGGCACGGATGCTGCTAAACTAATAAATACTTCGATTCCTGCACATTTTAAGTTAACACTTGCTCAGGCATTGCAGTTGGAGGAAGAAAAGAGGATGGGACAGGTTCCAAGGCATTGCAGTTGGAGGAAGAAAAGAGGATGGGACAGGTTCCTTATTTTAGTGAGTCAATAATATAGTGTCTGCAATGGTATGTACACATCGAGTCATTTCTCAAGTAGTAAGTGTAGTAAGCAGTGTATAACTTTCTTGATGAGGCATATTGACAAGTTGCGAAATAGATTTTCAAATACTTGCAAGGTACTACACGTACAACAACAACAACAACAACAACAACCCAGTGTAATCCCACTAGTGGGGTCTGAGGAGGGTAATTAGTACGCAAACCTTATCTCTACCCTAGGGTAGAGAGGCTGTTTCCGATAGACCCTTGACTCCCTCCTTCCAAGAACTCCCCACCTTGCTATTGGGGTGACTCGAACTCACAACCTCTTGGTTGGAAGTGGAGGGTGCTCACCACTAGAGCAACCCACTCATGTTTGGATTTTGGAAAGAGTATGACACTTTGGTTGCTTTTATAGACTTAGATTATGCAAGTGATCTTGACAGAAGAGCGCTTACAGGCTACATTGGAAAGTTGTGCTGTTATTTGGAAAGTTAGGTCATAATATTGTAGCTTTGTCCCGAAGCAAAACACATGTTGGTGACCAAAGGCAATCAAAGAAACCTTATGGTTGATGGTTTTGTTTATTGAATGTAGTCTACTTCAAGCTACTTCAAGGCAGTGTTTTGGGGAGCGAGAAGCGGAAAAAAGCGAGGAGGCCTCACTTCGGTGAAGCGCGTGAAGCGAAGCGCGCACTTTTTTCATGTGAAGCGCAATATAACACATAAATAAAAAAAAATTAAATAGGCATAGATAAATGACCAAGAACTCAATAAAAATAACATATTAAGCAAATGTTTCAATTCTTTAATTAAGAAGTAAATAACAGATACTAAAACTAGATAGTCAATAATCCTCAAAAGTCATAACATATTAAGCAAATGCAAAACCAAATCACAAAAGGAATTGTTAAAACATGGCATAACAGTGAACAACAGAACACATAGCAGTGAACAGTGAACAACAGAAATTAAAAAAAAAACAGAGCACAAGCATAAATTAGAAAACAAGGGTGAATAGAGAAATAAGAACTGAAAAAAATAGAAAAGAAGAAAAGAACAGAGGAGAGAAGTCGAACAATGAAGTGAGTGAACAACAAAAATTAAAAAGAAAAACAGAGCACAAGCATAAAACAGTGCAGAACAGATAAATAAGAACTGAAAAAAATAGAAAAGAAGAAGAGAAAGAGAAGAAGAGAAAAGAGGAGAGGAGTCGAACAATGAAGCAGAGAAAATCAGAAGAGGAAGAGAAGAGAAGAAAGAACTGAAGGAGAAGAAGAGCAGAAGAGATGAAGAGAAACTTACCAGAAGAGCAGAAGAGAAAAAGTCGAAGTTTGCAATCGTCGCTTGCAGCAGAGAAGCAGATGTTTGGAAGAAGTGTGCGCAAGTGTATTTGCAATTTATTTTTAAGAAAACTCTAGGCAGCCGCTGGACCTCGCTTAAGCGAGATTTTATGCGCTTTTTTCATCACCTCGCTTCTCGCTTTTTAGGGTGAAGCGTGCGCTTATTTACCAATGTCGCGCTATAGGGCAGAAAGGCGCAGATCCCTCGCCTCGCTTCTGCGCTTTAAGTGAGAAGCGTGCGCTTTTAATAACACTGCTTCAAGGTGGTATTATCATTTGCTGTGATAATCAAAGTGTTATTCACTTGACTACTGATCAGATGTATTATGAGGGGGCAAAGTATATTTATATGAAGTATCATTTCATTCGGGAAATCATTCTTGAGGGGTAGGTCTAAGTTCGGAATGTCAATACTAGAGACCAATGTTACCATTATAAAAAAATGTGAATACTGGAGACAATCCTACTGAAATGCTTATAGAGCTCCGACCAATTGTCTCGTTCAAGCGCTCTTCGGACTTGATTGGTATTGGTGATTGCTAAATCATTTTCTGCAGATACACTATATCAGCCAAATCTAGGCTGATGTGGAGATTTGTCAGACAGAACTGGTCGATATTGGCCATTCAATTTCCGAAAGATCGCTGCGCTTGACATTATTTTCTGACCCTTGTCACCAACTCATTACTAAAGTCACATCCATTGACATTATTGAAAGGTCATAATCATATGACCCTTAGCGTTATTCTGCTAAGTTGCTCCGACACGAGTGCAGGTGTCCAACATGGGTGCCGATCTAGAGATCGAATGCTTCGAAACATAAATTCTGAGATTCGGGGATATAGATACGGGTGGATCCGGCTAAAAATAATTCAAAAAAATAAAAAAAATTCTAAATTATGAGAAATTTTGTGGAATACTTACGTATTGCTTGTAAAGTGTGGATTT